GCATTTTTGTTATGTTTATGTGTCTTAAATACAGGGAATGGAATTATGCGGTTTACTTGTTAAGATGATCCTACACGGTCAATAATTCTGATCTATAATATTGAATCAGTAATATTGATAGTATGCATCAATATTTTTAATATTTTTAAAACCTTACACAATCAATATTATTATTGACTAATATTTCTCTTTAGTTTGTACATTATCTATTATATTGTATCACACTGGATCTTAGTAAAGCGATATTGATGCTCAACAATAAAATCCAGATCATTACTCTATATATTCTACGTCAATCTATTAATATTATAACCACATATGATGAAAATAGACAAGGCGTGTTTGTAACTAATTGTAAGACAAGTTTGCGCATACAAACTATAATTATAGGAAAAATTATAAGAAAAAGAAAACTATAAATAAAACGAATGTAGGAAACTTCAAACATGTAAAATTATCAACGTAATTATCAATAATATATTCATTATTATTTAAACTACACAATTTGCAAAAGAAAGTCGTGAGAATTTTATTCTTGCATTTACAGAATTTGTTTTTAGCTGATTTTATATAGAAACGACACATCGATATTAAAATTACGAGTTTTTCCTTCTTTAATTATCTAAACATCTAAACAGATGTTTTTAGCAGTATTAATAAAATGCAATATTTAATTTCCGAGAAAATAGGAAATTCTTTTAGACTGGAATCAGACAGATTGAAATTTGACCAATGAGAACAAAAAAAATTTTAGCTCTTATTGTTTTGATTAATAACATTTCAATCTTCAATCTCAATCTTCAATGCGTAGTCTGATTTCGATCTTAGAAGAACTATGTCATTGGCGACTTTCCTCTAAATCTTTTAATACGTTAACAGATAACGATAAAAAAGATATATGAAAAATATGTATAATAATATATATAATTCATTACATAATTATTCCAGCTGGATGTTATTCTGCGTATGTAAATCTTCAGATTCATTTATGAAAGAAATATATTTGAATACGTGAAGAAATATATTTAAATACGTTTTATCTTTTTGACATCTATTATATCACAACTGAGTCTTGCATTAACATTACAGTATTCGTGGATCATTGAAGTAGCAATTTCCGTATTATCGAAATCAAGCAGCGCTAAATGTGATACAGCTTAGGATGGTGATGATACCATGAAATTAATTCCCTAATTCAGGGGAAAATTTTTGTTTATTTTACCGTGTGTATTCTGGAATTTTATACTAATCGATAAATTTTTCAGCAATAAGACTAATTAATTAATTTTATATCTTTCAGTTTTTCTGAGAGTGTTATATTTATATTATATAGCTGTAGTTTCCAATGAATGGAAATTACAACTAACGTGTATGTTACATAGGTTAATACATAGGTTATATTACCTGTTACATTCTGTTTTATTAAAGCAATATAACAATACATATTTGTGTTTGTTGGGTAAATCAGCTGTTTCGAAGCGCTGCTTCGCTCATAGTTATGCAATGTCGAACTATGAGCGTTCCTTCGCTAGCTACGCATTTGTACATGAATCGGCGGAATAGAGGAATTTCGCCAGCGAAGCTTCGCTACACGAAACTGTGTCTTATTTACACAATTAACTAATATCATATATGGTAATATATTCACTCTCTATCAATTTCCTTTCTCCCTGTTATTTCACTATTATTTCCTCTAATTTCCTCTACAAATATATATAGAAGTCAAGTGTGTTCGCTCGTGGCCCAGAACAATTGATAAAAATTCTCAAAGTTTTTTTCTGGAAAAAAAAATTTATTTGTTGCATTTTGCTTGTTCCTGTAGCCTACACTTGGAGTCGCAACTTCGGATTCAGCTTTATTGTATGTAATCCTATCTCCCGTCGGATCTTACTTTAAAGCTACAGATCAGCAAGTCGGGATTTCCCTGCTTGCAGATCCTAGGTATACGAGAGCATGGCCTGGCGGTTGTGGTAATGCTAAATTAGGCAGCAATTATGGACCTACAATTCAAGTTCAACAAGAAGCCACCGAAAAAGGTTTACAGCAAGTATTATGGCTGTACGGTGAAAACAATGAACTTACAGAAATTGGCACTATGAACATCTTCGTTGTTTATATAAATAATAACGGAGGTAAGAAACAACTTTTGGTGAATTTTATAAAATGTTTGTGAAAAGCGTCATAAGGAAGAATAACTTGATTTAATGATTCAGTTTAGAAATTACCGATTACTATTCCTATGTTATTTTATACAGAAAAGGAACTACTTACACCACCTTTAAATGGCTTGATCTTACCCGGAGTTGTAAGAAATTCGCTTTTAGCTATATCTAGGCAATGGAATCAATATAAAATTACGGAAAGATCCATTACGATGAAAGAGATTATACAATTAAATTCAGATAATAGGGTAAGATTTACGTAACATTTTTCCTCTTTTCTTCTCTCTCTTAGCATATTGTCTATTATTACAATTAATTTTTTTGTTATAGCTGTTGGAAATATTCGGAGCAGGAACAGCGTGCGTAGTCAGTCCTGTATCTTATATTAACTTCCAAGGTCAAGAATTGCATATACCAACGACAGAACAGCCTGAACCAATTTATCAGATGCTTAAAAAACGTTTATTGGATATACAGTATGGTATTATACCTGACCATCCATGGAGTTTAATCATCGAGTAAAATATGGATGATAGAAGATTATAACAATTATTTTAATCCACTTAGTAAAATATTTCAAAATCCTTAAATTTAAAAGGGAAAAATTGTTAAGTCTTTAATTAACCCACAAAAGGTAGCGTATCGCGCTTGCGCGCGCGTGTATGTATATATATCAGTGTCGGAACTAGATATTTTGACATTCGAGGTAAAAAAATATACGCCCCTCAATAACAAAAACACTTCTTGTAAGGCATGTAAAAGATAATATTAATTAATAATATTTAATATTAATTTAGTATTAACATTAATTTAATAGAAATATCAGTATAATAGTTATATGTACAGATATACATTATAAATATATATATTATGTGTATGTACATACGTACGTATGTCACAAACGAATGCAACATAGTTATTAAAGTCACAGTAGAATCAGAGTGTATACGTACATTGTATAGTATACATTTTATAGATAATATTAATGTATAATATGTATATTTATATATTTATATAAATAATATTAATTTTTGTAAAAATTCATAGAAGATATGTTTTTCATTTAAAGTAATATCATAATTTGCACGATGTTATTCATGCATCCGATATGGGCCCCTATTCACGAAAAGTATCGCATACGAAGAACTAGAGAATCGGCGGTCTTCTTTTTACGGTACATTAGCTGCGTTCAGCAGAGAAAGCAGCATTACAACTGTTGTAAAATTCTTCAATATAATTTGTTTACACATTTAGATCCATAAAGAATCAAAAGCAAGAACCAATCGTATTGAAAAAATTTACAGTTGCAAAGCTGCTTTCTTTGCTGAACGTAATCACTATTTCACATTTTTATTATTTACGTTAATTTGTATACAACTTATTTGATATTAAAATACAATGTATAATAATAAAAATTAATAATAAGTATACTTCAGATTAAAAAAGCTATAAAATATAAAATTACAATATATAATAGTTCATTCAAATCATTTTATAAGGCTATTCTGCTTTTATCAAATATCGCCATAGTTATTATGCATCTTTTTGTCTAAACTATATTTTATAATTTCCTTTATAAATAAAGTAATATCTTTAGATTAAAATTTCATTTGATAAAAATCATCGGATTAACCTTGTAGAAGCCCGCCACTACCCCCGCTGATTCCGATCCGCGATCCTCTTTTTCTTTAGACCTCGAATACATAGGTACAGTAAGCCTCTTATAAAAATTATCCAATTATAATAAAATATTCTTCTTACAATCGAATCTATGATTTCTTAAGGCTTATTGCACCTATTGTGTTTCAGGATTTACACTGGTCGTACTGTAAAATGACGGTTTGGAAAATCTTTGGGATAACTTTGACACAAATTTTGACAATGCCCAAATAACAATGCATGTCAAAATCTAAACATAAAAAAATCTTTAAAAAGTCTTTGGATATGCGTGCTTTCTTAAGCATTTTTCAAAATTTGAATAAATGATATCTCGACTAGACTAAAATTATCCCATAAGAATAAAAGATTAATAAATATAAATGCAAGTTTCACTTACCGATTGAATGAGTAATTACATCCACCTCATCCAGAGCGGACAATCTGTCTCGAGCTGTCATCAGTTGTTATGTATCACATCCTGCAAATGAAACAAATGAAACGTGAATGCGTTAAGATAACGAGAAAACTTTGTTCTCGGGGCGCGGACCACTGCGGACCGAGGACAACAAAGATAACTTTGTGCGCGCCAAATGATAAGTTTAAAGTGACGCCAGACGGCAGACGCTGAGCGACGATGACGCTGCGGCTTACGTAGAGAGAAATCTGAGAGAGAACATGATGGCTGACGGCTCAAAATCTGTAACCGCAAAATGGCCGCTGCCGCGCACTACTGCCCTCTGACAAAGTGGATTAAACTACATAGGTTTTCCGAGGGTCCACTTTTCAAGGCTGCAGATGATAAAATCCGATATTACCCTCAGAACGGTGAACCTTGGTATATAGTTTACATTCACTTTGTCAGGGGGCAGTAGTGCGCGGCAACATTTTGCGATTAGAAGTTTTGAGTCATGTGAAGTCATGTGAAGTCAGTCATGTCTTCTCTCAGGTTTCTCTCTGCGTACATTACCTAGAAGCTTCCAAATGTCATGCGAAAAAATTTAGGATGGCCGCATTAGCTATTCTCATGTTTCAGAGATACTGTATAAAGCTTGATCCTACTCTTCTCGTTAGTACATGCATATATTTTTTGTGACGTCGCATAGAGAGATGAGGGAGCAGAGATGGCATACATACGTCACTGGTCTGAGGTGCATCAACGTGCACAGTGCACACCGGCCTGCACCGTTAAACACATGCATATCGATACATATATGTACATGTACCGCGTATCGTCACTCGTTAGTGCGATAATGCCAGGCACTGCATCAGCTGCTCGCTGTTGTGAATTGTGAGTCGCTATCATCCATTGTCAGTATTATCAGTATTACTATACTATGATCAATGTGACACTGTGAAGTGTAACCGTCGGAGTGATCGTGGAACGAGGTGTTCCGACTTTCGACCAAAAAGTCGCGGCAGCATAAATTGGTACAACATATATATATATATATATATATATATATGTATTGTATTGTATGAGGCGTGCGAGCGAGTGCGATACATGATAATGTGAGATACACGATAATGATCGGAGAGGAGAGAAGAGGATATCTGAGGATACCATTGTTGTTATATTGCATCGAATCGTTCTTTATCATTTCTGAATTCTGATTTCCCTGGATAACGCATTACGCATGTACGCGCGCGCATGCGGTCCCTTTTGGGCGGCTTGGAAGACATTGGGAGAGAGCGAGACAGCGAGATAACGTGGCTCTCGACTCGATCGCCAGATTCGCGAGCGGGATTTATGTCACTACAGCTATAATTTCTGCAAGAGGCGAAAATCATCGGAATATTCCTTGCCATGTTCTCTCTCTCTTTCTCTCTCTCCTCTCTTTTTTCCTCTCTTCCGTTTTATGTTTGGCATGTCTCACGTTTTTCTTCGCGCTCGTGCAAAGTTCATCTCCGTCGATTCGTCATCGAGATAGCGCGAGGGTGACAGCTCTGCGACAAAAGTCGCGTCTATCATAGTCTCGTGATCGCTGCCCACGCGCGGCGACAACTATCGCTGTTGTTTGTTGAACTCACGAAGCTTGAGCGTGTTCGAGTTCTGACAATAAATCGCCGGTCGCCCAACAGCTCAACGGGATGTCCATTAATCTGAGCGAGGTTGATCCGTTCAGTGAGACGCCGATGGAGCTGCCCATGGAGCAAGAATCCTACGAAGGTACGACAATAAGACACACGAGACATCCGGATGATTACGATCATCGTGACGTGATAATCAAAGAACGTTATCATATAATCAGGCGCTATTATTTGATACGCTCCATCGCGACCATCATATTTAGGCGCGTTCAGCGGCCTTGACAGTCCGCTAAATAAGTGCTCGCTGCTATTCTTCTAGAGATCTAAAGGTTTGATTGGATGATCTAGAGATTCTAGAGGAGGAATACACCAATAACAGTGAGCTCTCATTCAACTGTTGAGTCTTCTGAACGCGCAGTCATTGACAGAGAAAAGATTGATTAGTAAGTGCTTTTTTTTTTCTTTAATGTAGAGTCAGTTTCTTCACTTGTAGATCCAGCGAGGAATTAAAAGTAAAAATCAATTGTAACCAATTAAAGAATTACTGAGTAATTATACTAATCAGTTTTCTGCGCAGTCATTTGTTATCACGAGTAGACGCTATGTATTCGTGAGATATTTAAATTGGGAGATTCTTGGGAGTGCGCGCGCGCGATTGAGCGTGTTGCACAATTTATCAAGCATGCCAGAATTTTTTCCATTAGATTTCAAGTATTCTAAAATTTATTAGTCATCATTTGATAGATCGAGTTTGCTTACCTAGTTAGACTTTTTTTTACAACAATACACAAGTATCTCCCAAAAATATCAACTATAAAAATTTTAACAAAAACGTGTAAACATTTGTGTAAATGTTTATTTGTATTTAAAAGATTATTTTTATATTTTTTTTTAATATCTTTCCTCGAAACATGATGCTTTAAAAAGTATAAATAATTTTGACTTATTTAATATTTATTTTCACCTTTTTCTTTTTGTAAAAATTAATCTAATGCACGATAAAAATCCGAGTGTATTAAATTATTATTTGTTAATATAATTACTAATTATTGAAAGAATATTAGATGTGTAATGATTCAATTTTTGTCTCGTACAAAGATAACGACCAAGCAATAGTGGAATCAAGTCCAAAGAACGATATAGCTAATGCTGTGAATGAAGCAGATTACGCCGAGCCTTTGACTCCGGAAGAAATACGTTGGTTTTATAAAGACGGCGTTGACAAAAGGTGGAACGAATTTTGCGGGTACGACAGTTTAAGAATTGAGAGAATTTATCAAGAACGTCAGAATTTAATTAGCGAAAGTAATAATGGAACAAACGGTTTGTCACCCGCTGAAAAAATTGTGGTTAGAGGTGGCATGTACGATATCGAAATAGATAATATGAAATGCGTTTCGATATATTGGCCAGGTGAATATATCACATATTTTATTTCTCTTTTAGTTGTATTCTATTTTTTACACCATTGCATATTTACTAATTACTTTTTGCCTATTGCCAAAGTCAACTCATGTAGTACAGAATTTATGCAAGTGAGCACAAGTGCTTTCTAACTTTGTAGGCATTGCTGGGCTACGTGAAAATAATAGTGCCAATGAATCGACAATTGATACAAATATCCATGAATGCCTTAATAATGATTCATTCACAATGGCTCTTTAGATTTCTGTATATTTTTCCATTATGCATGCAGTAATGCATGTCTTTATACTGCACAAATTACTTTATCCTTGAAGTTATTATAGCCAATTCGTATTGACTATGCCTATTATGACTTGCAACATGTGCGAAATAAATATAACACAGACAATACATTCTATCATTGTAAAAAGGAATTTATTCAGAGCTCTCAATAAAATGTATTAGTTGTTATTTATATATGTCACAATCAAAGTGTTGATTTATTTTTAAATGTATACACTTATTAATTTGATAAATAAATGTATTCACAAGCACACAATGAAATTTAAACTGTTACGAGTAATGGTAACGATTTGACTAATTATTTTTATCGTTACTTTAAATCGTCTCATAAATTGATTTCTAGCAAAAAAATTACTTTTCGCCGCGAAACAATTTTCACATTTTATGTATAATCGTTATGTAAGATATGACAAATTTTATTTATTGGCAATGTCTATTATTGTTGGATGATGGAGTACTTTGATAACAAGAATTAAATAATTTGGATTTTATATATATATATATATATATATATATCAGCATCATATATATTTCAGTTGAAAGAAGACTTATTTAATAATATAAAAATAACATCAAAATTTTAGTTGAGCTGCACTATCATTGTATTTTATACATGAAACAAATATTAAAAATAAAAGAAATAATTTAATGAGCCAAAGTGGATCTTAATCATGCTAATTTTTAATATTATAAATTGCATGTATAGGATGCTTCCTTTAATTCGAGCATTTAGAAAATTTTTCTTGTTTTTAATAACATGACAATGTGATAAAATATAAAATAGAAAAGTTGTTTGTTTCATAGGAGCAAATATTATCGTAAATAGCATATTTTTTCATACTTATTATTTTACGAGATTTCAAAATCATTTCCAAATGGAGTTCTATAAATTTTTCGCTTAATATGATTCCGTTAATAAAAGTGAAAATGAAGTTATCAAAAAGTCAATAGTTAACGAGATATTTTGTATTTTATATTTTATTTTATTTGCATATTTTATGTAAATAATTTTTAATTATAAATTGAAATATAATTCCGATGTGATTGCAATAATTTATTTTATTATTTTAAAATTATTTTTAGCTGTTTGAGTTGGAAATGTGGAAGTTTCCAAACTGTATTTTATTTATGATTGACTATGATGACTACGATTAACTTTTGCTTATATTATCATTTCTTATTAGTGGACTGAATATGGTCTGATTAGAAGTCAAAGCCATTATATAGTATACTTACACAGTGTTTCCTCCATCTAAAACATTTAAAATATTTCCGTTGTTTTTAATAATACGACAAAATGTTAGAGATAAAATAGAAAGAGATTGTTTTGAAGGGACAAATATTATCACAAATATTTTAACTATTCATTATTTTTTAAATAAAATTATGTGATTTCTTTTACATAATAATTCCTTTAGTTATTCTGTACATGAGAAAATATCAAAATAATTTTACTTTGTACCTGTTGTACCATGATCCTTAGTTAAGTCTACATCTTAGGTCTGTTTTCTCTAGCTGAACTAGTGTACATTTTTAGAACTTAAAGTGAGCTAGATATATGTCTGATATTTCTCGAAAGCAAGAAAGAGAATTCTAGTGCAATCTAGTGCAGGAACGGAAAACAGACCATTTGTTTATTTGCATCATGGCTTATAATGAAGAAGCAGCAGATTGAAGTCGGCTGCATCGTTATAATCAAGTTTGTTAGCATACTGCTAGCGTACTACTAGCATTTTATTATCTGGGTAATTGGAAGCCAATGATAGCTATAATATTAACACTCATAACTATTGAATGACAAATAATAACTATTGGATTACTACAATAGTTATTATTTATTAATTAATGATTAGGTCCTTACCTAATGGCAACCGTGACATACAAAGGATATGTACGATTGAGAAAATTAACAGTTACAGAAACTTATTAGGTGTTGGAATTAATTCGTAGCGTTTTTTAATGAAAGAATGTTATTTATTTCACATGAGCATTAAAAAATACATTAATGAAAGTACTTCCCATCACTTGTAAAACGCTACGAATTAATTCCAACACCTAATATAAGATCGAATCTATTTGTCAATGAAGAGTGATGATTGAGTGTCAGTAGTTACCATTTATATTTTGACAAACTGAAAATAATTGTTACGATATTCAATCAGTAAAATCTATAAATTTTTAGATCACTTATGAAAAAAATATTTTAATTATACGCGTTCCATCTTTTTAACAATTTCTATTAACCAGATATGTCAGTTATACAATTAACATTGTGCGATGTTCGTGGATTATCAAAGTAACAATTCTCATATGATCGCAGAAGTAAAATAGCTAGATGAGGTATAATTTAAGATGGGTGACCGGTTAGAAGCATCATGAAACTAATTTTCGAATTTAGAAGGGAAACATTCTTTTATCATAATTTTGCCGTACGTATTCTGGAATATGATGCGCTAATCAGTAATATTCATTTTAGCATTAATAAGTAATAATTAATTCATACCTATTGGTAATACCATTCGCCAATGGTTACTAATCGAAGATTACTATATGCCAATAGTTACTATTCGCCAAATTACAGTTCACCAACAGTTATTATTGGTCAAGAGTATCGTTAACTCCCAATCGTATTTTTTTTATAAGGATTGAGGTAAGAGTAAATATGTTTTTACTATGTATTATATAGTAAATGTACATATTATCTAGTAAATTAATAATTTATTAAGGATAGCGACATTTTTATATTTAATTGATACTTTTGCTCAAATTTTACGTATAGTCTGTTCCACAAGAAAGTGTATGTGGCAGCATTTGAACACACAGTACACAACTTAGAAAAAAATTAAGGATTTTAATATATTAAAGTAGACTCAAAAAGATATTGCGCAATTATTTAATAATGGGTCCAGTTACATCTATTGTCAATTATTGCTTGCCAACTTTTTGATATACTTTTACCTAATTTTTCAGTATATTCAAATAGATAGAGAGCTTGATTTTAATCGACAACTGCTTAAGATACACTAAAAATAGATTTTTCTCTTAGTTCGAACTTCATCTAAGATCAAACATTCTCAATGGACTTTGCGTCTGGAGATAAGTAGGTCAATCCACTGTTAATGTTACTTTCATATTTTCTTCTATGCGAAAAAGCGACTTCGATGTTTAGGATCATTTCTGAAGCTTCCAATTGTCTCTAATTTTCACATAAAATTTCTCAGCGGATGTCAATAAATATTTCTAATAAATATTATGCATATTGTCAGCGTTTAGATTATCGATAAACAAATAGAGACAATTGGAAGCTTCGCTTACAGAAACACCCCCAAGTATGGATACTTTACTGCTGAATGATTCTATTACTAGGGATTGACCAGACTCTTCGTATGAATAATCAAAAAGAATCCAAAAAGAAGCTTTATATTACGTTATTCCAATCACTATTCAAATTTTTTTGAGCCCATGCCAGTCGTTTTGTTTTTGTATTGGAAGAAGTTTTTGAACTGTGAAACGACAGTCTACCTTTGCTTCATAAAATGACGTCTGATGATATTTATTCCAACATTTATATCCTTCTCACGTAGTTGATTTCGAGCTTAATGCAATACTAGCATAGGATTTCATTAAAAAATAGACGAATGATCATTTTATTCTCTCTTAATGAGTTAATCCACTTTCTGGCAAATCGTCAACATTTCCTACTTTTTTGTATTTTTTAATTCACTTCTAACCAAATGACTTTAACTTTTTAAGATATTTTTAATTCTGAGCATACTAATTTTGGTACTTTTTAGAACTAAAAAACACTTTTGCAAAACTAAGAACACTACCTCATAACGCTTGAGATACTTTTTGAAAATTACATTTCTGACAAAAACTAAAGCTTGGTTTACACGATGCGAGCTACTAACTTGCCAATACTAGTCTTCGAATTGCATGGCTAGTTATCTTATTAGCTGTATGTTCTTTACTACGTATTGTTTGAACATCTACTAGTCATACTAATTTGTGCGTTTATAAAGGACCAGTAGCCTATTGCATAGTGGGCGAAGAGAGTGAACAGTAGAACAAAAATATTTGAAATAGTTGACTTTGCTAGTTACTGCCCAACTCACACGATTGATAATTCGGCCAATCCGTTTACATGAAGCCAATAGCTGATTGGAGTCTTTATAATATAGAGTCTAGCCACTCAATGTGACTGGTTTCATTGGTTAATCCTAAATTTCTTCAAAATGGCAGTACCAGTCAAAGCGTAGCATACATTCAAAGAACATACATTCCACATTTACTGTACACACACACACACACACACACACACACACACACACACACACACATTCGCACCAGATTTACACATATATTTCTCATTTTGAATTAGGATCATGGCACACAAAAAACTTAAGGCAATAAGACATATAAGCAGTAAAGAAATCAACATGTTCGTTGGCTACTGTTTATGTTATGGTCTTACGAACTTTATTGTGATTGATCATTTCGCTTACTGCTTAAGTTTTTTGTGTGCTATGGCTATTAAGATTATATATTTTCTTATGAAACAGACTAAATGCATATATTTTCTAGTAAGTGTATACATTTATTAAATTTTATGCTTTGACTGTGACATATATTGTACATTACCAAACTAAACGTTTGAGGTCATATAAATATAGCATTTAAGAATATTTTAGTGAAACTCTACTTAAAAATTTGATTTATGCATTACTCAATAATTGTTATCAATTTCAATCTTAGATAAGCATATTTAGTATAGTTATTATTATCATCATTATTTAAATAATATAAAAGAAATCGGTTATGACAGGCTGTAAAACTTTTTTTCCAAAACTAAGCTATGGATTATTTTAGGAAATTGATAAAAAAATAAAAAATAAATAAACAAACTTGTAACTAGATTATTTAAGGATGTATTAGACAGACAATTTCACTGCAAAGAAAATTAAATTTGGAAGTATGTTTAATAAATATTTACATTTCAAATAAATTATTATATATGAAAGTTGTGTGAATAATTATATATTCGTTTACATACTAATAATACATTTTTATTTATTTTATTTAATTATTTTTATTGTTAAAAATTAAAATTTTAAAAATGATTAAAAAATTTTTCTTTTTCTTTTATAAGTACTTTAAATATTTAAAATAATTTATGCAAAGTTTCATTGTGATTCACTGCGATTAGTTACAAAGAATAAATAAATATTTTGTTTATTTACTGGACAACTAGTTTATGCATCGCAATGTAACTCTACGTAAATAATCTTTAATACATAATGTATTTATATGAAAAAATTGAGATTTTTATCTTTTATTTTGTAATACATTTCCATATATTTTTATTAAAGCATAGATTAAAAAATCTATTATTTATTAAAATAATATGATCTAGATAGTAAACCAAATTTGTCGCATTATATTTTTAAACTTAAATGATTTAGAATAATCTATAATTTTTTCATAATTTTGTTATCGTTTTGAAAAAAATAAAAAAAGAAGATTAAATATAATATCTAAAGATGAGATTAAATGTATAATATCTATAATATCTAAAGATGAGATTAAATGTAAATTACTTTGACGAAAAAAAGTCTGGTGTTCTGTTATTCTTTTTGTAAAAACTTTGTTAGAATTTTCAAACATTTCATATTATTTTTTATTTTATTGTAAAAAAAATTAAATAATAAAAATATGTTAAATTATGATATATTTAAAAGAGTATAAGATAAAATTTAATTTTATTTTATATTGTAGATATTTTTAGTTAATGGATTTAAACTTTTGGCTCACTATGTATTTCGCTTTGTAATATGTATTATGTAAATGTAAACTATTTAAATTACTAATAATGGACTATTTAGAAATGCAATATTTTGTGATTCAAGATAGTATTTTACAAGTTATTCCCATTTTTATCCTTGATACATCGTTAAATATGCTAATTGTGAACTATAATGTTCACGAAATGTTAGCATATTTGACAGTGTACTAATTAAGACACAAAGATAATATTTGTAAACCATGTAACTTCCTTGAAAAAAATACTTGCGGAAGCCTCAAAAGTATTATTTTGTAATTTTTATATTAACAAATTCTGTAGTTTTTTCAAATTTTTCATGAAAGTTAGGAGTATTATCAATAGAAGCATTAAAAAAATTATTACTTTGGAACATCGCCTTAGTAAAATTAAGTAACGAGTGTTCAGGTTTAGAGTTTATGTAGAAATTTATTTGATCACACATACACATACACATACGCGCGCGCGCACAAGGCACTCAATTATTAGTTCATACAAATATAGTAACCTTTGTAAATTCTTGTTGAAGGTGAAGAATGGGAAATTATGAGGGGTACATGGTATTATGATGGCAGTTGGATACCCTTGGAAACAGAACATTCTAAAGTAATAGAAAAGGTACATCTTGAATTATTTCAAAAGGAAAGCAGCAATCAAAATATCATTACGTGTGAAACAAATCCTCCTCAATCTTATAAAGGTACTCTTTTCATTGTTTTCATATTTTTCTTGATTTTCTTACTTGTGTAACATGTCCTTACATAAATTTTAAAACTTATTGCGTTTTCAGTGTTACATACTGAGCAATTTTCCGAGTTTCACGTTGATTGGCACTCGGTTAACGATGTGACATTATATAGCGAATATACACCTACTAAATTAATGCGTAGCGTTACATCAAAGTTGGGTTTTGCTAAAAGTAAGTTCAGGATTAATAATAATAAAAATTAAACTATAAATAATAAAAAGGGAATCATTCGTATTTTTATGTATTATTTCAATACATTTTTTTCTACTCTAAATTGACAGCAACAGGCTATCGATTAAAAAGAGGCTATAAAACGCGTACAAATATGGAGGATAAGCCACGTGATATCGATCATCTAGTATTTGTTGTTCATGGAATAGGACAAAAGCGAGATACGGGGAAAATTATCCGTAATACCACATGGTATAATAATAATAATCATTTTTTGTAGTATACAGAGTGTTTCGTAAACAAATTGATAAAGTTCTAAAATGTTCTGTAGTCACTAATCATATTAATAGGCGCATTTTTTAATGGACTCATTCTAAATGATCGAGAATGCTAACTATGTTTATTTCTGTTGTATATATTTGAAGTATAATTATCTTTTTTGACATTCTTAATTAACGAAAATACGTTTTAATCTTTTACCGGCAACAACGAATTTTACTCTCTTCGTTAACAACAGAGATCTTTGAGAGACAGAACAAATTTTGATAATTATTGGTTTTAGGGGAAGCATCTTTGATGACCTTACTCTTAACATATATTGTTAAAAGCATTCTTTTGAGTGAATTCCGGAAAGTTTTAACCGTCACTTATTCTTTGTTTATTAAAAAAGAAATTATTACAAATTTATTTAAAAATTATTTAACAAGGAAAGTTAAATTTTATTTAAATAAGTAAATAATAGATATCGATTTAATAAATATAGCATTAGTGACATATTTGCATGCTCTATAATTACATATGCATGCATCATTAGGATCAAAATGTACACGAAACAGAAAATAGGCTGTGTGTTCGTAATTTTTCTCCGTAAGAGTTGTATCTGCGATTAATCGATCGATTAAGGAGTTAGTCCATCCAAAAGGCCTCAAAATCATATCTTATTTTAGAAGTTTATTAATAAAAAACTATACATGATACAAAAAATCTTTTTGTACTTATTTATTATTCTTATCTGAGTGTACAAAACGTATAACAATTATGTTCCTAGCAAACAAAATAGCGGCGTTATAGCACGTTTTTTGGAGGCTTATACACGATAAAGGCGTGATCCGAAATATGCTGTATCAAAAATTTGATTAATTATTTTTAATCTACATTAAATTTATTAAAGAAATACCTGTCAAATTAAAAAAAATATTTAAAAAATGTGAAAATGTTCATGCGAAAAAAGTTCAATTTTTACGTTAAAATTCAATGTAAAAGTATCTGTAATTACAGAAAAAATATGTAAGTTGTCGCAAAAAACCACAGGGTTGTTTTTCTCTTCAATTGACAATAATGTGCAAGATTTCAGAGCATTTGGATCAATTTCGTAATACGTTGAAAGCATCATTCTGAGAAAAACGCGATTAAAGTTTTAAGTAAGGTTTTTTCTAAACTAGTATAATCTATAATTAAATTGTATGTCGATATCATCTATAGTATAAATACATAACTATAAACCTATTTTACAATCATGTAAGCGTATAAAATCTATTTTACAATCATGTAAGCGTAGTTGTAAGTGGTTATAGTTACAAAAATTGACCAATCACAGTAGAATATTCTCATATTCGATTGGTCAATTTTTACAACTATAACCACTTAACAACTTATGCAGTTGTAGAATTGTTAAAATTAATAGTTCAAATAATGACTGAATTATTTAGATAAACGGTGCGGTGCCAACTGTATCTTCGTTAATATTGGAATTTTACTTTTGGTTAAATTCTTCTACATCTTTTCTTCTATCTTTTTTATTTAGAATGGTCTCCAAAATATGTTTTAGAAGTTTGTCAGTTTTTTCGTACAACATTTTGTATAATACTGTATTTTGTATGGTATTATATTTTTATAAAATAATATTATTTTTAAGTGTCAATAAATTAATAGTTTTAGAGATTGCGTGGATTGGCTTAAGCAAAAATACTTTCCAAATTCTAAACACAGAGTAGAATTCTTTCCAGTTGAATGGCGATCATCGTTAAAGTTAGATGGAGGTAAAATACACATACTTTACAGCACTAATAACTATCTACTTAATTTTATCGAATGTGCAATCTCTTCTTTCAGATATAGTAGACGCAATTACACCTTACAGTGTATTAAGTATACGTCACTTGCTTAATACATCAGCAATGGATATTTTGTATTATACAAGTCCTCTGTATGGTGCTGAAGTTCGAGCTGGATTACAAAAAGAGTTAAATAGTTTATACTGTATGTTTGCGAGTCGGCATCCCGATTGGCAAGGAAAGATTTCAATTTTAGCGCACTCTCTAGGATGTGTGATTGTATATGACATAGTTACAGGCTGGATAGGACCTGACATGCGACTCTCATGTCCGCAGGCGCAAGAAGTTTTATTGCAAGGATTACAATTTCCTGTGAGCAATTACATGGAAAGAAATTTACTTGTTTTAAGTAAAATTTGTTTTATATAAATAATTTTCACATAGTCCATAACAAATATAAAATTGATTCTTAGAAACAACTTTCTCGTTACTAGTAAATAATTTTTATAATAAATAATTATCTCTAATTATAAAATGATTAGAAATAATTAATTAATTGGAGTCCTAAGGTTGCTTTCGAGCAAGCATTAGAATATGAATACCACGGTGGAAAAATTTCGCTGAAATTTCGTTGAAACTCCACTGATTTTGCTGAAATTGTCTTTCGTTTCGGAACATTTTTTAGTGAAATTTCAGAAAAATAAAATTAATTAATTCAGTTTTATTGCTAAAATAAATATTATTTTCACATGATAAAATTACGATTAAAAAAAAACATTCCTGAATTCGGTAATTAATTTCATACTTCCAAGCAGTCACCCATCTTAAGCTGTACCGCACATAGCGTGCTTGATTTCTGTGATCGTACGGGAACTGCTCCTTCGACGATCCACGAATATATCTATAATACTAATAGACATATAGTTGTAATATACCTGATCAAAGATGTACAAAGAATGGAAACACGCATACAGAAAAAAAATTATTAGGTGTACAAATAAGTTTCCGCCGTTTGACAAAAGACGGTGCCACTAGCAAGCTATGGTTAAAATTGTCTGATGTAAAACATATCGTAAGGTTGGGCATCTATCAACATAATAACCTTGAAATACTAGCTATTTTGTATCAGCATCATATTTTTTTTTGTGCGAAAATGCCGAGCCGAATAAGTGTTCATTTGCGGGAACTTTTGATTTACTTCTTTAATTTGAAGAAATCTGCAGCTGAGGCTCATCGATTGCTTGTAGAAGCATATGGTGAGGCTGCCTTAAGTGAGAGAAGTTGTCGTGAATGGTTTCAAAAATTTAAGAACGGGTGAATTTGACGTCGAAGATAAAGAACGTAGCGGAAGGCCGAAAGTGTACGAAGACGCGGAATTGGAAGCATTATTGAATGAAGATTCGTGCCAAAAAGAACTTGCACTTACATTTTGACTTACATCAATAAAACATTATGTATCGTTCTTTCACAATAAATGCTTAATTTTTGATAAAAACGGCGGAAACTTATTTGTACACCTAATAATATTAAATATAATTATAATGTATTAATAAAAACATGTTATATTTTCATATATACACACACACATATATATATATATATATATATATATATTAAAAAATTTATTTAAAAAATTAATATAAAAAATTAATTTTCGCGTACTTGTAATAATTTTGCAATATTTTTAGCGAAAAATTAAAGAATATTTAATATATTTTTTAGAGAAATATAAAATTTTCGAAACAATTTTCAGACTTTGGAAAATAGTCGGAACTTAAATTTTTACTAACTGTAAAAACTTAACTGTTTACAAAATTTGCAACAAATTATTTCTAATTATTGGAATTATATCAAGTGAAAATTGTTTTCTCATTTACAGATTGAAAATTTGTTTTGCTTGGGTTCGCCATTGTCCGTATTTTTAGCTCTGCGCACTCGTACTCCATCCAACAGATTAGATGTGATGCCGCAAGGTTTATGTAAAAGATTCTATAACATATTTCACTGGTCCGATCCAGTGGCTTATAGAATGGAACCGCTTTTGGAAAGGGGTTACAGTAAAATCGAGCCAGTTCTAATACCACCATACGGAGGAATTGATGGTCAACAAATACCACAATCGCCTTCATCACTGAACAACGTCGATCCGACTCTACCGCCAACAGGTATTTTATTTATCAGTCTATTCTTAAGATATTTAAATATCTTTTATGACATGTTTTAAAGTTCGAAATATAAAGTCTAATTAATTTTTGTGTTTTTTTAAATTTTTGTATTTTCGACTTTGTCTTCTAATTCGTATTTGTCTTCTAAAATATCGATATATAATTAACAATTATTTTATATATAAACTTGTATTAATACTTTTACATAGACATATATTACTCTGCAGTTATTGCAATAAACATTCAGTTCAAAATTGATCTAAATTAAAATAGGACAAGTAATGAGAAAGTATCTTCATTTTTAAACTATATACAGATATACAGATCAAATTAATCATAACATTTTAACAAAAGTGGATTATCATGATTTTCATGTAAAAAAACATGTTTTAATGAAAATTAAAATGTTTCATATTTGCAAAATGGACGCAAAAAATGTGTTCTATTTAATACTTAATTCTTCAAAAAAATATTGATTTCTTCCTTGGAAATATAACTATTTTCAAAAATCTGAACTGACAATAAGAGTATTTAAAATAGTATAGAGTTAACGAATTTAACACATACAGGTTAAGTCAACTAAAGTAAATGAACAAAAATTTTACTTAATATAGAGTTTTTATATGTATCAATAGAAAATGATGATAAAGATGATAGTCCAGTGGATAGTCCACCCAATCGTAATGCAGAGAAGGGCTGGAGTCTTTGGGATTTAGTGCGAGGTGGTTGGAACATTAGAGAAGGTCCATCTTCGCCAACACCAGATTCAAATCCACCAATCCGTCCAGGTCAAGGTAATTCTATACATATTATTACAATGTACAGAAACCTTCTCTGCATCATAAATTATTTATAAATATTTTTTGCGTCATTAGAATTAGCACAACGATTGGATTATGTGCTTCGTGCGGTTGGCTTAGGAAGAAATTATTTATATACTGTAACGGCACATACGGCATATTGGAATAACTACGATGTAGCCTATTTCGTATTAACAAGACTCTTTCCAACGCTGGAAACTTGATGGCGGTTTAAACAGTTTAAAGCAGAGTCCCAGCAGTTTCTGCTAAGATGCTCTAGTCCATTGTAGGCCTTCTCTAGAACGTGATATCGCAAATAGGTCTGCTACCAAAACAATCTGTGATAACGGAAAAATGATACAATAATGTTGCGAATTCTATGAAAATCGATCATTTTATATAATTGTATAATTTAGTAATCGCTCTGCATCAAGTTATATGAGACGAACGTTGTCTTTACTCGTTTTGGAAAGTAATTGTTTGTACTAAACATTAGGTAATCGACATTTGTACATAACATAATAAATTCGGTATACAGAAGCGCATGAGAGAAAATGATAAATTTTATGAAATTTTATGTTACTATTTAATAGATACAGTATATGAATATGCTAGATATTTATTAAGTATAATATTTTGTAAAACTCTCTATGACTTGTTATGACACGGCAAGCTGTTTTCAAATAATAAAATCATTCTACAACAAGCCGTTACTAGTCTAAAGTCTTAAGCCGTAAATTTATCAATCACAGTCGAATGTGAAAAGAATAATTGATTGCGATTGGTCAATTTCTTATGTCTTAAGACTTAAAAACTTAGGTAATGGTTTGTTGTAGAAAACTCATAACTGATACATTAGTTTGGTAACTAATGTATTCTCTATGTTGATTGCCTTTGTTATTGCCATATGTATAAATAACATTTTAAGATTAGCGCCAAATACGCTAAATATATTATTGATCTTACAATGAAATGAAGTAAGATATTGTGATGCTTACGAATTTTTCTTACATATATATTTGTTGTTAATCGATTTACGAATGTATACTCAGAAGTATTCATATAATGTAGAAATACTTGAATAATGCAAAAACACGAGACACCATATAACACAGATTTTTAAATAATATATAACTTATTAAAATACAGTATACAAGTATTTTGGTATAGCTTTATATCTCTCTAATTCATACTTTTAATTTAATAACAAGTTCGTATTATATAATTGTGTTCCTTTATATTGTTTTAAAGAACTTAAGGAAGTGCAAAATATTCGTATGAATTCTATTAAGAGGCTTCTGAGTATAGTCGCCATTATATTGGGTCGTGGCATCATAAGCCAGAAATAGCACGTTGAAATTTTTTGTATGCCATTTGTAAATAAATTTGGATAAAACGAAATATGTAATGAAATCGATTTTAAAATACTCATAAACTATCCTTCCTCCCTCTCACGGGAAATAATCGCAAAAAGCATGTGAAATCTTAGAACATGTATAAATGGAAGGAGAATTGCCTACGCTGCCCATGTATCGAGCTTAAAATCAACATTTGTGCGAGAGAGAAAGCTAGAGAGTTCCAAATCGCAATGCGCATGCTCAGGCTGTCGTCTGTGTGAGTTGTACATTTTTTTTAGTGTTCCTCACACATTAACAACAAAGTAAAACGGGGGAAAACGGAATGACACATGTGCATTACAGTCAATTGGGACTATAATTTTCTGAACTGTCGTAATAGATATTGGCTTCAGGGAATAGCGATTATGTAACTTTTTCTCCAAGGCGGAAACGTGAAGAGTGAACATTTTTTGTACATAAAAATTTTCATTTTTCACGTTTCCGCTCTAAAGAAAAAGTTATATGATTGCTACCCAGATTCAATACTCAATTCCTCTTCCATTTATATAGGTATATGTTTTATGTGTGAAATACATTTACTTAACTGTACATAGGCGTAGCCTATTTTTATCTTACGACTATTTGCGAACTGTCAGGGGAGATAAGAATTTCTTTTATTTTTTGTTAAAGCGATCTTATTTTGTTTGTCTTTTGTTTGTCAAATTTTCTTCATTTATAAATAGCGTGCAAAAAACTTCAACGTATTATTTCTCGCTTATGACATCATGATTCAATGTGGCTGCAGCAATCATTCAGAAACTTAATAGAATGCGGTCCGTGCGTGGTTTGCGCTTGCAGCGCTTTTAAGCACTAACAATAAGCATCATTTGTCCTTTAATATTTAAAGTTCGACCGAAATTTTGGTTTTGGTTTCGATTTCGGTCAGTTTCAATAAAAAATCAGAGTTTCAATTTGATTTCGATTTCTGAGTACAAACTTTGATATGATCCTAATAATAACTGATTTGATTTTTCTAAAAGTTGAAAATGCAATATTATTATATTATTATAGTTAGATATTTTGATAAAATATTGTTTTTTAAAGAGTACATAACTCTTTCTTTTTTTTTTAATAAGACTTATCTAAGTTTCAGTTTCGATTTCGTTTTCGGTCGAAATTGAATGACAATCGAATATTCGTTTTCAGTTTCGGCCGGAGGTCAAAATTATCCTGAAAAAGATCCTGAGTTATCTTCAAGGCTGTGTTCGAAAATACTTTCTAAGTACCTCCGAGTATCATTATATCCTTGTTCAACATTTGGTGAACAACAAGAATAAAATAATATTTGGATATACTCGTAGTATTTTTTAACGCAGCTCAAAAAATTTTAGTTATTTATTAAAGAATTATTAACAAATAAAGTCAATGTAATAAATGAGTTTAACTTTATAATTAAAATCTATATGAAACTTCAATTCACGTAAACGTGATAGTGAATTCCGCCCTCTCCTCTTGCACGAGGGCCTCCATCTCCGAAAAATATAATCCTAACCCAAATCTAAATCAAATTTTGGTATTGAGTATAGGCCTCGATTTGAGTTGAAAGTTGTAATCCTAAGTGGAACCTCGCTTCACATTGTAAAAGACATATCCGGAAGCGCAATACTGTAGATTTCGCCTCCGTTGTGGGCTGCAATACTAAAAAATTGATCTAACCATCTGTTAAATACTTTCGTATGAATTTATAGCTTTCCACGCGAAGCAAGGTTTCATATGGATTTCAACAACTTTCCATGGTTGAATTCGAAAGGTTTACCCATTATGCATGATCTGTCGGAGGACTCGTCACATAATCTGAAATCTCAACTAATCAGAAATTGAGCTCATTACAGCGTGAATGAGTCATGTGAATCACTGCAAATAAGTTCAAAACTTGATTGGCTGACAGATCCCGCATTACTTTCAACTTACTGCGCATCCGTAGAAATGGGAAACCTTTCTAATTCAAAAAATCAAAAAATCTTTCTAATTCAATCAAGCAACTTCCATGTGAAAGTAACAATTTGGATTAGGTTACTTTTTTGATAGACTTTATTCGCAGGGAGGGGCGGAATCCACTATATCCATACACAGGGTGACCTTTATGATTCCTGCATACTAAGAATAGCCAAAAAATGAATTGATTTGATTTCTGCGTCGTAAATCAATAAGATCGAATATACTATATATATATATATATATATACATATACATATAAAATGTATAAAAAATATATAAATATGAAACACATTAATCCTCATCAGATATTATCATATTTAATATATTTTTACAGTAAAACTGCCCTGGTGGAAAAAAAATCGCCGAAATTATTGAAATCGACAATTATTGAAAGCGTTGAAATAAGAAATGAAAATGACTGACATATTATTGAAAATATTTCAGCATAAATAATACTTTTAATATTGAAAATAATATGAATTTTAAAGATAATGAAAATTAATGAAAATTAATGAAGAGTGCATGTAAAATGCACAAAATACTATTTTCTAAACAATAAACTCATGAATTTATTTATTGATCTATTTATCTATTTATTTTCATGATGTTTAATAGGTGAATTAGAATCCATGATTGAAATAATAAAAATACTAAAGAAACGTTACAATCGATGTATGTACACTCGGTATTCCTTGGTTGGTCATATTGTTTCTATCTTACAAAGAGCGTTTTCTTTTCGGTTATAAATAAAATCTTGTGACGAAAATATAAACTAAATATGTACATTGTAAAGTATGAATACAGAATTATAATAAAATGAGAACTAAGGAAATTATAAACCATCCATGGTAGTTATAGAAGGCAATTATTTGCTTATGATAGACGACCACGATTTTACATTTATCTTTATTAACAATAACAGAATAAATAAACTGAGTAATAAATTGATACAAATCTCTTTTCTGAGGATTTATGCCAGCTTCTGGAGTAGGAAAACTTGAATTTATCCATCATGACATTGAAATCGATGTCATTTCTCACTGGGTAACGACGAAGCATTTTAGTGGTCATAAATTTCCAGCGCAATCACGTAACCAGACAAAACGTATGTCGCAACAAGAACCGGACGTTCGTGTAGCGAATTTAATTTTTTATTATATTCTGCGAATATCATTAATTAAACGACTGACGTCCACGCAATCATACGGAGCTCTTGCTCATTTATAAAAACATAAACTCAACGACCAGCAAAATTTATGGTCTCTTTTGATAAAAATTATTTCATAATCTTAATGGAATATATTTTGTACTAATTAATTATTGAATCAACTCATTCTTTCTAGAATCATACACGTTATGTTTTTAATACATACACGAACTACAATTGGACCTTTCATATTCAATCAAATATTTGTACACATAACTCTGAAAAAACTATATATTTCGACTAATATAAAAACTATATATCTCTACTAATTTTTTTCCAGAAAAACGTCAGACATCAAGAGATATGATTTGATAAAATCAAAATTCAAGTTTGTTGATAAATTACAAGAGGTAAAAATGTTTAAAAAAGAACTTTCAAAGGAAGTTAACGATTTGAAATTTTTACTAAATTTCATAGATTTACGTGTGTAATTCTAGGATTAAGCCATTCGAGTACTCATAAAAATACTTTTGTCGCAAAATTATTAAAAACCGTTTCTAGAAAAAAAAATGTATGAATAAAATTGACAGTTTTCTATTAATGGAAAAAAATAATTAAAATAAGTAAAAATAAAATGTATAATTGATGTAAACACGAATGTTTTCTCCTACGCTTTTAATGTATGAGAAAGGGTTAATTACGTTGACATTGCATCGTGATCTTTGCGCGAGAACGTAGTATTATGAAGCACTATTATTTATTACCGACATCATATATTAACCTTTGGCTCTTAATATAATGTGATAAAGCAATTTATACTGGCACATATGCCGATAAACACATATCGAGAATAAAAAATGTACAGAATTTAAATAACGCTCAATATTACTAAAAGTTATATTTCTATTATTTCTATTTAAAGATAGTCTAGTAGAATTTTTCTATATTTTATTAAAAAGTATATATTTTGTTTTAATAATATATAAATATATGATAATATATGATATAATTAATAATTTAGTTATCTTTATGTCAATGGCAAATTGTAACATATTAAAAATTACAATAAATTCTTTGGAAAATCAAGTAAGTGCAAAGAAATAAACGAATTTTCTCTACACCTCAATTTTAATAAAGCCAATATTGTGCCGATATATAAGGTTTCTTGAACTTGATTATAGATACGATAATCAATAACCATCATGATAACTACAGAAATCAATAATCATCTCTTGTAGTAGTTATAGAAAGTAATGACTTACGAAGTATTACATCACGGTACTGACAATAACAGAAGAAAGAAACTAAGCAATAAATTAATGTAATTGAATTCAGATGGATAGCTTGCATTATTACTTATTAATGCTATCTGTTGAATTCATCGTATAATTATCTATAAATAACGAGTAAGGTCACAGGTTTGGTTATCTCATTAAACTTACAAATAAACTATGTAGCAAGTCTTAAAAATTTTCAATTAACAATTAAGCGATTGTTGCCTCGAAATGATTCTATAGCTCCAACATAGCTTGCTTTTTCAAATCATTTAATTTCGTTCTCTACAAAAAGAAGTCCATTAAAAGCATAATATCTCACGTTGTAATTGATACCATTAGCCGAATCGTAGAAAATTCGATAGATCCGGATAGCTCAGTACAATGTACATCATCATTGTTCAATGGGTAATAGAAACTCGAGTCATTACATAAATGATCGTGTCACTCACCTTTTTTCCAGAGTAACTTTCAATGTTCCGAAATCAGAATGTTATCTGTCATGATAAATCCACCTAATGCGTAACTCCTTTCGTCATTAGGACATACGCTAAACTAAGATCACAATCCAAATACGCTCATCTTAATAAACGTCAAGAGAGAGGAAATGCAGGAAAGGAAGACGAAATCGCGCATCTTGTAAAGATGAAAATCCTTACATTCTTCTCCTTTACATTTTTTAATCCACTACTTATTTTAATATATGTAAATTACAGACAGAATCCCTACTGAAAAAGATCATGTCACACAGTTGGATGATGAAATCATGTAATTAAAACAACGTAAATTATGTAACGAATTGTTCCAAATCCGTTCCATAGTATCCGTTCATATGATGATATTTTCTTTTTTCTTCTATTTCTATCATTCAATTCTTTAAAATTTGACAACTATAAAATCACATGATGGATGAAATTAATTATTTCTAATATCATGTGATTTTTCAAATTATGTCATTTTAAAAAATCACGTACTGATTTGGAACAATCTGTTACGTGATTTACATGTTTTAATTACACGATTTCATCATGTAACATTGTGACATGATTTTTTTTTTCAGGGAACGACTTCGCTCATTCTTACTAGCATACAAAAATGAAAGCCGAAAAATTTAATAAATGGAAAATTTAACAGGAGAAAAGATAAATATAAAATTAAATATAATGCATTTAAATTTTACACATAAATTTTACACATTTTACTACAATATTTTTAATAAAAATATAATTAAACGCGTCGTCAGCATGTTGAGCTTGCGTTTACTTGTTAGTAAACCATAATTTTAGTGAAATGCTCGCGCGATCGTATCAAGGATGGAATTCAATCGTATTTTTTGGTATTAAAAATAATTCTAAAAAAATATTTTTTGTTTTCAATCGAATTCGAGTTTTCTCGTCATCTCAAAGATGAAAGAACACGCTAAAATACGCGTGATGCATTCCAAAACGGTGAAAAGCATCACAAACGTGACGAGATATCGCCGTACGAAAGCGGATACAAAAAAAAATCATCATTGACTTTTTGAGCAAAAAGCCGAAAGTGCTATTCACACAGGACTCTATTAGCGCATATAGATTTAATTAAAATGGGCATATGGTTCAGTGCGATGGTGCCTGCGCGCGCTTGACTTAATTGAAAAGCTGCGACCCGAAAAGTACTTCCAAGAGTAATAAACGAACAAGCGAGCGGAACTGGTCTTCGGTCTTTGCCTACGATATGAATACACTTATGAATAAGGAAAATGTTTCGTATATATTCGCCCATAAAACAATCTATCGTTGACGAGATTAATCCCCCCCCCCCCCCCCCCTGTCAGAGTTAGCTCGTTTCAATCAAGTAATACATCTTTTTGAGCGAGCGAAGTTAGTTAGAGCGGAATATAACGGCTTGTAAAAGAAAAGTTTGGCTTAGATTCGCAAAGAAAGATCTTTTTATCTTTCTATCCTATTAGCGAAGATAATTTGTTTAATTTATTAAGTGATGCAAGAGAATAGAAGTTGAAAAGAAAAAATAAGTCGAGTGGATAAATGGTGCTTGCGTAGGGATGCTTAAGTTTATTAATTCCCATTCATTCATTTGGAATATCACAAGACACTTGATGTAATAGTCACATTAATTATACGTAGAATAATTGTTATACATTTCTATTAATAATCTCTCTCGATTTTACACGTTACATTGCGAATTGTTTTCTCTGTTGGATGATTATTGCGGTTGCCACCTTTCAATTAATGTCTCACTAAATTCCGAAGGCATATATATCGGAAATGAATAATTATTGTCGGCAACTCTCTTACCATTTCTCTAAATAAACAGAGTCACTTTTGTATTTTGTATCGGAAATTGCTATTACTCTACCGCAGATCTAGCATCAATTGTTCTTTACTTATGATGTAAGAATTTTAAATGGATTTTAAATAATAAAAAGTCATTGGATGTTTGACTCTGGAGATTTCTTTTTAGAACCGGAGGAAAAGATCGAGATTATTACCTTTATATAATATCATTTCTCGTTTCTTAAGAAAAAGATCATCAAAATTTAGGATTAGAGATTTTTCCCGCCGACAGAAAACTAACGAGATGGCAACCATGGTGATTATGTGAAAAAGTCATGAATTTTGCAAATGTATTTTGCGCACATGCCAAATGCGGCCATATTTAAACAGTTCCGCCGTGGTAACTTTAAAGTAACATATCGCAAATCGCAAAAATGAATACGTGTTAAATAAAAACGTGTAAGAATGTTTACGGAAAAGAAAAATTCAAAAATATGTAGTTTTATGGTTTCCCAAAAGAAAAGGTGGTAAAATGATAGAAGAAACTTGCCATAACATGGAATAAGCTTTGGCATAACGTCAAATTCAAATAACCGTGGCACTATGGCGACATCGATTTCGCTCTTCTGATGTTCAAAATGCACAACTGGGTTTCTTCCACCATGGTTGCTATATAGCAAATATGATCTAAAAACATCCAATACGACATACTATTAGAAAACTCTCTACAAATCAATTTCTTGCTCTATATACTTAGAATAAACTTGCAACATATCAAAAGAGTCGCATTTTATAAATAAATTATCTATCATGTCAGTATATACTTACTTTAAGCAATAAGAATTTAATGCAATAAACCCATTTTTAAAGATATTTTAATGATTATTACGAATCCGAAAATAATTAATTTAAATTTTGCTATTGTAAGGTTGTACAGTTATATGTTTAAGAATGAAGTGAATAAAAGAGTAAAGTAATACAACATGAAGTTTCGATAGAATGCAACCTTAATCCTAAACATCCCTAAACATTCAAGAGTACAATAATTAAATCAGCAATATTTTTACACATATTATTTAGCCTTAGTGTAATTCTAATCAAGTTGTATGAGAATATGCGATATGTACCGACGAATACATACATACATAGTTTACTTGGTCGAAGAGATAACGCACATATGTTTACGAGTGATCTCCACATGTGAAGAATATTTAAACCGTTTCTATTTACGGTATCGCGAGATACGGTATCGTAAGTAGAAACAGTTTAAATATTCAAAATATCCATAAAATTATACAATACATACTATTCTGAAATTTGTTCCTTTATAAAATATAATACTCATTATATATGTATACTATGTAGTTTCGTTGCTAGATATTCTTAGAAGATTCGAATGTCTTACGTACAGATGGAACGTACGGATGGACTACCAATAGTCAGATATATTAACAATCAGGATCATCACTCCGTGATATTCTTAGTCCCGATCGTTAGTATCATCGTTACTTTGATTTTAAGCGAAGCTTAAACTCTCTCTTTCTCTTTAAAGCTGATAGACAGACAGAAAGGGAGAGTTTAAGTCTTGCTTAAAGTTAAACGTTGATGTAATCAGGCCTGCTTAATCACTTACGATCAGTCAGAACGGATGCTTGTTACGAATGTCATTGTTAAGACACAGAAGTTTGAGCACAATCATGGAGCCCGCGCGGTGGACCGCTGCGCGCGTGAATTGGGTTGCTTGCTGAAGTGAGATCGCAACATTTCGCCCAGACGCATGAACTATTCAATATAAACAAAACGCACAGCGATTTTCCGCGTGCGTCCCACGATCATGCTCGAACTTCCGCGTCCTATTCGCATAGATAATGTTAAGATGATGGAAATTAGTTATATAAATAATCTATCTATAAAATAAAACAACATGTACAGATTTCTTGAGTATAAATGCTACTTTATCACGTATTAATGAAAATAAATTATACTTAATACATTGAATAATAATTATAAATTAAAACGATTAATACAAGAATATCAAGATTATTATCATTTTTTGGGTACGAGCCGCGTTTAGGAAAGGTATATAAACCCGAATCCTCATGCAGATGATATCTGCGCTTTCACACCGAGCGCCGATTGATGAAAAAGGGATTACACGTAGGAATAAAATTTACTTCCACTTTACTCTTTTTTTTTTTATCAATCACGCTCGGTATTAAGTGCCAACATCTGAGGAATTGAGCTAAAGAAAGCTTTTGTGACTTGCAAACGTCACTCGTTTTCTTTTACACGCGCGAAATTCGAATATTATGCAATAGTAGAATTTTTATCATTCGAGTGGATAATTCGCGGTATAAAAGGTATTAAATTTGGCAGCTTCAGTCTGAATAATATAAAAGCCTCCATGAGTATCTCTTAAATGAATAGATAAATACTAATCATGTATAATATTCGTTCAGTCTGCGGTTCTCTCGCCGAGAACAAGAGAATATTGCTTCCTCTAACAATAAGTTATAAATATGTAAAAAAAATATCAATAATAAAATGTATTTTCGTATAAAAGAAACTATTGATGAGCAATTCCGTCCGATAGGATATTGCTTCCACAAATGTGATGCAATGGACATGTTCCACTATGTGTTCTCTTAAACCTTTCTGATCTAAGAATATTTTTCGTACCAGAAGAGCATGGTCCGTTGTGTGCAGGGATACGAATTCGTTCTCGTCAAAGTGCACCGATAATCCATCAATAGTTTATAATCTGAGACGTTTTTTATGCCATTACGTCTATAACATGAGGTGAATACGATTAAGCATATGAAGAATAAGATATCTGTATGATTACACATAACGAGCCAAAAATTTCAATTATATCCTATTCCCGAATTTGAGAATTTTCATTCAAAACGACTGACTTGTAGCCAAATCGGTTGAACGCACTAGTGCTTACTAGTAAATAATAAAGTCGTTCTACATTGATTTAATCTGTGTAAAAGTAAAATGCAAATATTTCGAATTATAAAATATAGATTTTATTTAATAGCATAAAATATAAAATGTATTGAAAATTTTATCCGTTTAATCCGTTTTTATATTTATATTAAATATGTATTTTTATGTCAATTTATGTATAATGACTTTAATATGCATCAATAAGTATATTAAGTGCATTCAATCGAATTTGCTATCGTTCGCTATTAAAAAGTTGTTAAAGATCGTTACTCCTTTTATCTTTTTCGCACTTACATTTTATAAGAATATACAATCGTATAATTTATGACGTTAATTCGATCCTTTTCTCTCTTATACTTGTGCCCCCCTACATATTTTCTTTTCGGTAAGTTTTGCTGCCCTATAAATATATTACAATTTGATTTACATTTATACACATACAGATAAGTCCACGTATCTTATAGCCAGACGTACGTTTGTCTCAGATATAAAGAATAACATACGTTTCTCGTTGCAAAATATCGTGATATTTTAGCATTGAGAACGAATTCACGTCGGCATACACGGATATCTACTAAATTTCTTCGCCTCTTTCTTTGAAAAAAATCACTATTTTATATTTTGGCTTTACATTAATTAATTGTCAAGATTAAACAGGTACTATTATATGTCCACAAAGGCATGATCTTTGTTCTTCGTCTTGTATAATCTCAATGAATGTTTATCGCATCGATCTACTAAATAGTCAAAGTATATACTTGTGTTGTGAAAATTAGCGTCCGCGGAAATTCAATGGACAATACGCGCCACTCGCAAGTGCAAATTTACCGATGCTACATAAACTTGCACGATAATAAAAGCCTTTTAATCGACCCGCCCACACTTAGGTACGATGTTTTTGTTTATCCAGAAATCGCAACTCGAATAACTTTGCGCGAGCAGAGCGTCTTGACCAACAATCAAGACTCTCTTCGCGCCTGACCGATCAGCCTGCACGACTTCATTATGCCACACATAATGGTTAAATAACTGTTGCATAGCTGACACGTGTCTCTTCTCCTCGGGCGTAACAGCACCATAGGTTCCTAGAATGGCCGCGGCGTCACTGTCAGGATCGGCCAAATGCTGTCGGCGTGGTTGAGTGGCTACGTAAAATGGTATATTGGTGTTCATTCTGGCGAGCGTCAGTAACGGGCATACTACACGAATATCGGAAATCATTGTGATCAATCCCTTCAACGTAGCATTGTAGTGCCTGGAAAACAGGGGAATGATTCACTCACATACTGTAGCAATTGCCACTGCCAATCACAGCGACTTCTGCGTAAGGAGTTTTTTCCATTTCTTTTTTTTTCTAGCGCTGTGACTTGTGCACAAGTGGCTTGTGTACAATTGATATACACCCGGAAAATACACACAATACGCGATGTTTACTATTACTTTTGAGAAAAAGATTAAAAATTAATCTAAATACATCACATCGATCATTAATCATAACTAAATCGCTCACCTCAGAGCTTCATGTGTATAGCCTCTAATTCCGAGCAAGGATTCTCGTACGAGATTTTCGACCTGTGTCGCATTAAGAGTGACATTTGATGACAGGTATTGCAGCGGGGTACCGGCATGCGCGGTGGTACCCATCACTACCTTTATCATAAGATTATCTTGCGACAAGATTTCACCGACGTGTTCCTGAAGAATCGTTCCGTCCAAAACGAGCCACTCATGCCTCCTTTCCATATAGATGCTCGAATCTTCTTTCATTTCTGGCAGACCAACGGTACCTACGTACCACGACTCTGGCACAGCATCCATCAAATCTTCGGCGCTCTTGCTTTTGAGACAGGCAGCGTCGCTGCAACGAATTGAATCAAGGAATGGTCGGTTTATGTCTTCAGACAAACTCAATTCCCTGCCTGGAAAGATTGCGCTACCGCTGGATATCCACACTTTCGAGAAAAGGCTCTTAGCTCGACGATAACCGATCAATGTCGTTGCAAGAGTGCCGCCTGCTCGATGTCCCCACAGAGTAACGGAGGATTTGTTACCACCAAAGTTTTCAATATTTAACTGTATCCATTGAAGGGCTGTTATGATGTCTGACAATCCATAGTTGCCCGATGTTGGAGGATGGGTCGCTCTAGTAAGAGGTTCAACCGCCAAAAATCCGAAAATTCCCATTCTGAAGAATGTAATAAATATTTTTATTATAAAATATTTTTAATTATAACAGGATTGTCAGCGAAAAAGAAAAAAAAATTTTCTGACTTTTCCCAGTTTTCTCTGTCACTTTTTGAAAAAATTCCCCAACTAAAACCTTAAAGATTCTTTGAATAAAAACAAAGAAAAATATTAAAATATTTTATTTTATAAACAGAACAATAAAAAATATTTATATTCAATGAATTATTTACCTTAAAGAACAAGTTACAAATATAAATAATAATGTGACTTGCAGTGAGCGTGTTGCAAATGTTAAGAACATACTACTGATACATTACGAGTTAAACAAAAAAAAAAACAATTTTTTTTTAATTATGAGAAACGGCGGATATACACGTATCTTTGTTTTACACATTGCTTATTGAGATTTTTGTCCGTATTTGTAATCAGATCTTATATTTAAGGCTTCCTCAAATTAAATTATATTCTTTAGATGCTCAGTAGCCAATAAAATAATTCGTAGCATCTAAAAACAAATTTAAGGAAGCCTTAAATATCTGACTAATACGGGCATTAACTATTTCATTAAAACACTATATTCTAATTATCATTTTAATTAATTTTAATTAGAAATAATTTACGAAATGTTCATCATTAATACATATATATTTTGACTTTTGCAAAGTTAAGTTCTTTTCTTTTTGACAATGTCTGTTAATAGGTTTTCTGCAAATTGTTTATTGCAAAATTAAAAATAAAAACAAATATTTGCATTGCTTTTTTAAAAAATTTATTTAAAAAATTCTATTTCATAATTTTTAAAGAAATTTAAACTTAGAATTTTATAATAATTTAATTTTGTCTTCAGATTAATAAATTTTTTGATAATAATTTCCCATTTTTTAATTTCACTGACTTTTTCCTGATTTCCTTGATTGCTAACAATCCTGTGTAAGCTATATTCTTAATTATAAGTATTTATTAACCCCATATTATCTTTGGGTATGAAAAATTTGAACAAAAAGATCATTCAGGTAACAATAGTTTCTTTGCATCATAGAATTAAAACAAACGACTAGGAGAGTTCCTCTCTTAAGGGAATTCCAAAATCGTCTGTTTTATTGACTAAGCGCGCGCTCGCGCGCGCGTGTGTGCGTGTATATACGTTTAAGAATGAAGAAAAAATTTTGATTGAAAAAGGCAGGAATATATAATAAGTTCAATGTATACCGGAAGTTTGGCCGTACGAATACGATGTCACGAACGTGTGACAGCTTGGCGGAAGGTTGCATTACTCCGGGCGAACCGCCACTCAGAGTTTCGGCGCCGATCATTACGACCACGGGTAACGGAAAATCGTATCCAACTATTGGTGTAAATACATCAAGATAGAGGCAATCCTCGTCGCCGTCGATGAGATTGTGCATATCACGCTGCCAACAGTTCTTAGAGGAGTTGTGCGCCAAGTAAGTGCCGTTCCAGCAATGTTCGATGCGACTCAAAGATTCAGCTGGTTGCCAGCGACGATTGCCCACCGGTGGCATTGCGTACGGAATGCCACGGAACGCGTAAGCACCATCCTCCAAGATACCCTGCACCAATCCACACGACGTCACTGCTTCGATGTACTTGTTGTTCTTTAAAGGTTTGGTAGAAATTCTCCTAGGTCCGACGCAGACGATACATATAATAACGATGATGCCGATCAGCATCAGCAGAGTCGCCACTATATAAATCGATTTAAATATATCAATTTTACATATAATAATTAATACGAATAAATATAAATTAAATACTGCGAGATAAATTCTGTATCTTCATACCTGAGACGGACACATGTGTCCTGTATGTAGATAGATAGATCACCAGGGGATGCTTTGGTCGCTTAATGCTGTCAAGTTCATCTTCTTCATCAAGTCGCACGGTTTCCATGCCATCCTCATCGACGATAGGCCTCTTCTCAGAAACGCCGTCGTCGAGTGTTTCGATACTCGCTAATCCAGCAGTACCGGTTGGTCCTAATTCGGTATCGACTTCCTAAAAAGGAAATATTATGGCAATTTATTCTCTAAATTCTTTGGACTGGAATTTTACTCTAAAGAAAAAAGAAGGAATGAAAATTGAAACAGTTTTGAAAAAGGCGGACTCAATTTTCAATTTAAGTAAGAGTGAGATTTCATTCTTCAGAGTGACAATTTACTCTAAAAATTTTAGAGAAAAAAAATAGATTAATTTTTTATAATATCAATATTATATTTTCTATCTGTTTGTCTAATTTAAACATACAGGTTGTTCTGTCATGAAATCGACAAGCTTTGCCAGCGTGTGCGGATAGTCTAACAAGTAAAACAGTTTATATACAGGGTGTCTCTGCATACAATGTCAAAACTGCTTTAACATATGAAAACAAGTTACGAGATATTAAAGTAAGAAAATATAAATCGTAGTAAATGTTTAATGTTCGTTTTTATGTTGTTCTAAATCTTGAATTTTTTTCTGATAGATCTTTCATTCTCCCCAAAATGTACATAAATACACATTTTTCCATGATCACTATCTTCATTGAATTGAAAGAGACCAGGACGTTCCTAGTAAATGGCCAGCGAGAAGTCCTGATCTCATGTTCATCCATTTATCTGCTTCTCACTCTACGCGTCTTTCTACGTCCCCCACCACTCAGCAATCCATTTTAATCGATAGGCTATGAATGTAGTATCATAGGTAATGTGTATTCATAGAATCTAATATTCCTTATTCTGAACAAATAAGGGTGATATAAGCGATATAACGTGGCCGTTCGAATTGTGGAGGCCATTGAACTCTGTCTGTAAGAGTAGACAGTGCAACGGGTTGTTCTATCGCCTGACATAGGTGCTCACTGGACATGGCTGGTATATTGCTTGTACCAGAATAGAAAAGGAGTGTCGTTGGACACACAGGAAAGCGCAGTGTCATTGTGCGTCTCGGACTTCGCGCAGTATATTTTAGAGATATGCTAAGCATATAACAGATTATAAAGTCTTGGTCGTAGTGGTAAAGGAGGACCTTTCGACAATATGTATACCGGTGGGAGAGCACATATTAATTGGGGTTACAACAATTTAAAGGGTTGTTGAAGTGACAGTCGAATTTGATCGATGTCGATAGTACAGATTTTTCTAATTCCAAATTTAAAAAGTCGATAATAGTGACATGTGTTTAATTCATTTCTTACATTATCGTTCTCTCTCTCAAACGCATACATCTGTCCTTATCTAACATATTGCAACGCCATCTCTTGCAAGACCGAACATCTAGACACAATGATTGTTATAGACACAATGTACAAGAAAAACGCATACAATCGCTTTTTTAGCTTTTTGCAAACGCTGCCATACTACTTGGGATTTTTCATTGGAAAATTTTAGAAAATATCTCTAGGCATAAAAGACACTTACTTTTTTTCTTCTGGAGAAAACGGACGACATCAAAGGTATCCGAATGGAATTTAAAATTCCCCTTCGTCCTTCCTTTTCCTTAGAATCCTTAACAGGTATAATAGGCTTTTCCGTGGACAAAGCGTTCTGCTCGTTTTCCTTTATTACCACGGAAGCTGATTCTACATCCGTAGACTCCGTTGGTTGAGCCACATCATTCTAAAATCAATCAAACATACTGAAGTAATTAATACACGCCAATAAATAGGAGAAATTAATTTTTGTCCGCTTCTTTATACGATGACATTAGACTCCTTTCTTCGAACCTTAATTTCTTCTTTAAACAAAGTATTGTATTTAAAGAAAAAGAGCAGTGTGGAAGGTATAATTAGAAGAAACAAATCATTGCTTCGAAAATAATTTTATTCTGAAGAATAGTGAGATAAACTCTCTTTCTCTCTACACCTTGCATTTAAAAATAAAGTGGAATAAATTTTTAAAAGAATAAAAACTCAAGTGGTACTATTTTTAGTGTACATACATATCAATTTATTGCTAAGAGATACGAAACGCAGCATTAGTAATTTTCAATGGTGTCAACTTTACTTCCTTTACTGGCCGTAACCTTATTTAATCTTTTGCAAATTCCATATTTATTTATTTGGCTAATCCATCGAGTTAAGGATCTTCGCCTTGGTCTACGTCTTCCTTCTACTTTTCCCTAAATAATAAGTTTCTCCATATCCGGTTCTCTTCTCGTAATATGTCCAAAGTATCAACTGCTGTAGTTGTATTTTGCTGGAGATCCTTCTTTCGATTTTGAGTTCTTTTAATATGGAGTTGTTTGTACGATAGGCAGTCCATGAGATTCGTAGCATTCTTCGCCAGCAAAACATCTCAGTGGCTTCTATCTTTCTTCTCTCTGTCTGCTTTATCGTCCAAGACTCACTTCATATGTCAGTATCGGGAATACCAGACAATTAACCAGTTCTGTTTTCAACTTTTTTGAGATTTGGTGATCCTTCCAAATCTTTGTTAGTTTTCCCATTATTATCTTGGTCAGATCGCATCTGCGTTTTATTTCTTCTTCTGTTGAGCCAGCGTTCGATATTATTGATCTCAGATACATATAGTTTTTAATCACTTCGAATCTGTCAACCTGTGTTATTTCAGGGTGGTTTTGGCGTCATCTATTCATTATCATAACCTTTGTTTTAGATGTGTTGAATTCTAGCCCGAGTGTTGATTTTCGTTTTCCACTCTATGGATGAGTTCGACGAGTTCCTCTTTGCTGTTCTCGAGTAATGTTGTATCGCCTGCAAATCATAAGTTATTTATTTTTTACCCACCCTTCCATCCATCAAGCACTCTTCTCATAATATACTCTCTGTAAATGTTAAATAATTGTAGAGATAATATGCATCCCTGTCTTACATCTTGTTCTGGATGGAATTCTCTTGATATAGTATCAAGTACTCTTACTGATCCTGTTGTATGATGATACAGCTCCATTATAAGATTTGTAATTTATCCTGGTACTCCCATTTCTTCCAACACTGGTCATCAGAGACAGTATCATCTTACTCTGTCAAAGACTTTTCGGTAGTTTATGAAACATATGTATAGTGAGATGTATTCTCTTGCCTTTTCGATGAGCTGCCTCATCGAAGCTGTTTAAGATGTGTTCCTCTGCCTTTGACAAATCCCGCTTATTCTGCCGATATTTCTTTTTGGATGTAGTTTGCTTTTAGTCTTTGTTGATAATGTGTAGCATTACTTTACTGGCATACGAGATGAGGGAGATAGTCATGTAATTGTCACATTTATTAGTTGGCTTCCCTTCTTGTGAATGGCGATAATGGTAGATTGCGTCTAGTCTTTAGGCCATTGTCAGGTGCCATATTCTATTGCAGAGAATGTATAGAAGGTTCACTCCAATTTCTTTCGTAACTTTAAGTAATTCCGCCGTCCCCTGGTGCTTTGTTGAGTTTAAGTTTCCTAATCGCCGATTCTACTTCACATTTCAAAATTTCGGGTTCCTCTGCCTCCTCATTGTTACGAGCTCTGTTGTGATTTTCGTCTTTGTACAGATCTTGGCAATATTCTCTCCACGTTTCCGCGATTTCTTCTTTGTTTGTTCTTGGCTTTCCCGATCGATCTTCCACCCTTACATATCCCTTGGCTATTTATTTTGATCGTGGATCTTTACCTCTTCACATATCTGTGTGTAATATCGTTGTTTATCTGCTTAGCATCTACTTCTTATTTCCTTGTTTTACATGCACAATCTCTTTTTCCTCTACCGTCTTTCGGCAAAGGGGAGTTACATTTCTTTATTACATCATTAGATTTACATTCAATATAATTTTCACAAATTTGGACAGATTGAATGATACTGTGATTAGTACATAGATAAAGAATATTAAATAATTGCATTTATTAAATGAAATATCTTCACATGTACGTTTTTCAAAATTTAAACAAAATCATGAAAATGTTTAAATATGAAAAATGTGAAATATATTTGTCGAAAGATACCAGAAGTTTACGAGTTATCGTATTTTCATCTATTGTTAATGCCCATGGAATTCTCTGATATCTTTGAAGATAATACCCATGAAAGCCTAAAAAGCGTTATGTTTGTGGAAAATGTAGCTGATTTTTTTTTATATAACCTGCTTTATACCATGCGTAAAACAATTGTTCAACAATATGTTTATTTGGCATAAAACTGTTTACAAATGCAAAATTAATTAATTTTTTTAAATATTGATACATTCATAAGAGAAAAAATGCCCAAAAAATATTTTTAAAAAATATAAGAAATGTGTACAAATATGTATTTAAAAGAAAATAAAAAAAGATTCACAAAATATTAAAGAAATAAAAAATATTTAAAGTATAAAAAATGAAAAAAAGAGAGAAGTTAGATTTAGTTTTTCTATTGCGTAATAGCGATTTTTGTAGTTAGTGATTCTTTAATTTTTTAAGAATAACATGACGTTAATCTTCCAATTGTATTTCTGTAAAAGTTTTTTTTTAAGAAAAAAAAACATTTCTTAGTAATTATTATCTGTTATTTTGATTCCGTACATATATCGAGCTTCAAAAAATCGGATGTAGATTCATTTGTGTGTGTAAGAAATACTGTTTTAAACATGTGTAAAATTGATTGATTATTTTATTTGTAAAAAATAAAATCTTTTTTTAATAGACAGATTCAGTTTGAGCTAAAATTAATGGCAAATTTCTTTATATTTTTTTTGTCGTAAGAAATAATTGTAAAAATTTTGAAAAAAATCGGCGTCTGAATTTCTGTAAAGTTTACTCGTCAGGCAAAAGAGTCAACAATCTCTGGAATATTGTTTAAAGGTGACAATCATGAGAATAATGTACCTTGCATGATTCCTTGCTCTTTGTACGGCAAAATCCGGGCATCTTAATGCCACCGATCGGTATCTTCTTCGGTTTCTGCTCCTCGGATTCGACATCGGGCGCAGGTGCGATGCTGGCATGCTTAGTGTTTTCGGCGTTCAGCATCTTCTCTCTCTCTTCCTCGGCAATTTCTTTCTTGTCCATGCTTTCTTCCTGATATGTCTGGCTCATTCTCTATTTCTGAAATCGAATGAAGAACGCCTGTATTTAATTAAGTGTCGGGCGTAAATCTTATCGCAGTTCATCGATATCTCGAAAGAATATTTTAAATGTAACAAATGTTGCTAACGTAGAAAATTGTTTTTACACCGCAACAATTTTCCTGAAAACATTTTTTATATTTGATGCGTGGCAATAAAGTGTGTTCGAGAGATACTCCAGTCTCTATGATGCGATAAAAAATATTACGACTTGCGTGGTTCGTTTTTTGCACCCTACAATACTGCTACAGAAGCAGTAGAACTGCAGATTATTGTTTATTTTAAGTTGGTCGATCTTCATACTATGGCCGGTGTTCATAGTCGATTCTATGTCTAAGACTGTCTTAAGTACAGTCTTAAGATATCATGAATCAATCAGAGAAGTATAGCACAAGATATTATTTAAGATGGTCTTCAAATAAGAATGGATTATAAATACCGACTTACGATCACACTATAAAAAAAAATCAAATAATCAATTTTATAAAAAAAAACCCTCCTAATAAAACCCAATAAAACCCCCAAAATACCCAATGGGTTGAGCTTTTTTCCAACTCTGATTTTCCACTTGTTTCGGAATGTGCGAACGAAAATCTATCGAATAGTGTTATTTGAATTTTGTTTCTTTAAAATTCAAGCCGAAAACATATTTTTTGCGTTGTAAAGATAAACCTTCAACATTTATTTGTCGATAAAAATCGATTTATTTTGGAATGTGTAAACAAACCTATCGATTCATGCCATTTTGAGCATAGTAATTACACTAATTACGATTTGAATCGACTGACTTCGAAATAATTTAATTGTTAATAATTTTTTAACTAAAAGTATGCAAACGAAAATTTATCGATTGAGATTAGATAAATTTAATTTGCTCGTGCGCAATTAAGCATTTTATTCCGTAATTAAAGAAACAGTATTAACGTCTTAATGTTCGTTTAAGAATGGTATTAGACTAAAAAATAAAAATAGAGTAATGTAATTTTATCTTTCAAATTAATAAATAAATGCGATATTTCGTGCTGATTTGATGTACGCGAAAACAATGGCATCATATGAATTCGATATCTAATAAAATATACTCCAAAAGTATCGCCTGGCGAACGCATTACGCGAAAGAGGACGTTGAGAATCATAGTCGATCATAGTCCGCAGTTTCATACAATGGCATCGTATGAGTTTTCGACGAATTGCCGGCGCGGCGTAGAAAGAAAAAAATGCCGGCGATATACAATACAAGATGTATGCTGCGAGAAAATACGCGCGAACTGAAGTGAACCATATATATATATATATATAATATATAGAGTAACTTGCCGCGAGATCAGATCAGTCTTTTTGTTTCATAGGGAATAACGCTCGCGGAAACGCGTGGAAATGCGAGCCATCAGCTCGTGAAAATCGATTCGTAAAATTAAACAAAAAAATTATACACGATTAGTCAGATCGCGATCAGTGAATTACCCAAGTATTTTTTTCAATTTCATAGATCTCGAACTTCTCTCGCTGTACTAATAATAATAGTAATAGCCTACCTATAACGCGAACTTATTGATGAATCGCATTCACAAGTACGTGCGGAAATAAATATGCAAGAACTCACCCCTTCGGAGACGCGCTGATGGACGCCGTGTCGTTTTCCCTTGCTCACGTTCGCGCGTACACACACGCACACACACACATACAAACACACACACAGATACAGCTATAGCCGGTTACAAGGGCCACATAAAAGACAACAGAATTCCTTAATAACGTTGAGCTTGCTGTTTTCAGCTGTATTGCGGAAATAACGAGATGTCTGACAATATTGCGTATATGCGTGCGTCTTGTCTCGAATTTCCGTCGTAACCAACGCCGACGCCGACGCCGCGAAACTCGCCAAGGTGGAGGATGATAGAAACTACGAATGCGAAACACGAGAACGCCAAGCGCGCAACTAACGCAGCTAACGCAGACTAACGCAGACTAACACATCGGCTTAATCGACTATCCAACGCTACCGTCTGGCGTCAGGCTGTCAAGCGTGAGACGTGAGGCGTCTACCCAGTCTACTGTTGTTGAGTTGGGACTTGGTGGGGTGGCAATACAAAAATATTACATGGGTTGCGTTCGATTCGAAAATATACATCAGTGTATGTGCATACATACGCACCGATGCAAACCAATCATTCGGAAATACTCGTGCGTATTCGGGATGCATTAGGGGCTCCGGGCTATCCACAATAGCAGGAATAAGGAATTAGGAATGAGGAATAATGATTTCAACCTATCAGAAACCGTGAATTCCGATGTATCCGATTTCCGATAAGTTAATATCGTTATTCTTTATTCCGTCTATTGTGCGCAGGACCTTAAGTGTGAGATCGTTCAGAGAAATGATGAATACCGCCCTAGCCAAGAGGGTCGATTCTCTCTTTATACAAGGTGAAAATTACAAAAGTGAGCAAATTTACTAGGTGTTGACCAATGAAATTATCAATATTCTAGTAAATTCGTTCTTTTGTTATTTTATCGATTTCCAGGTCTCACCTAGGTATCGTATCGCATATCGCATCGCCATATGCCGGCAATCGTGCATCATGGCATCATTGGCATCGCTTCAGTCATGGTCGGCCTGGTCGGCATGGTCGGATAACCAAAAATTAACGCGGATATATACTGTGTATGTACTGCAAAGTAAAGAGAAGTAATTTCGGAATTCGATGGGAAAAAAACGATTTTCGCATTAATTAAAGTCGTTTTTATCATAGAGTGTGTACTGCAAATATAATGTTGATGGCATGATAACATTATTAAATCGAATAAAGAATCAGCGAAAGAGATGTGCAGAATTTACAATGCGAAAAGTCATGACTACGTTTTATATTTATATTCGTTATCAAACATTGAAAGATGAACGAAATGCATGATGTCTAATGTGAAAACAGGCACAACTTGCGATTCCTAGTTATCTAATTTACCACGTAATTATATCTAGTAGTTATATACGTACCGTGCTATATCTAATTGACAAAAATTATAACGCATCATAATTTACCAAAACGCAAGCAGCAACAAGAAAACAAGCAAGCTTAAGAAATACTAAATAGTTCGACAGTTTTATATAATTAGAATCAATCAAAGGAAGTAAATCCAAATAAGATGGATCTCCATAATCATTATTTACGTTTCTCGACAGTCAACATTTCGCTTTTACAAACTATAAATAAGTCTATTAGCATACATCACTTGATACAATCTTATAATTATGAAATGATTAAAGAAGAATTAGATATAAATAAACTCGAGTTCTGCCGGTTGTTGTTATGTTATGAATACCAATCTGTGTTTTACGACATTGAGAGGAGTGATAAGAAGCATAAGAAGCATGTGACATCTGTTAATGTGGAGGAACTTAACTTTCCTAGTGTAAAAATGATTTTTCCGCCAAACTCTTCACGAAATATCTCACAAATTTCACTTTTGTGTGACATAATCAATCTGCAGATGATACTTTACTGTAATATTAGTTCAATCAAACAATATCTGCAGAATTTTCTTTACTCAAACGACATGTATACCACAACTAATAATTCTAGGATTATGTATATGAAGATATTAGAACATCTTTTAGAATTTTTATGCTTGTATCAACTTCATACCACCAACAAAGATAACAAGGCAATCTTAGAAAGCCTTGGCCACATATATTTGGAGATTATCAAGTCCTGGCTGAAGCTAAAGGAAGACTGTGAATGGAGACAGTTTGCTTTAATGTTTCCTAAATTGGTAGAAATTTTTACTCCTTCATGTATTGTGTTTCCTCTGTGGAACCATTTTCTATATGAAATAAATGATTTAAAGGAATCTCTCATTGGCCTAAGTATTATGGCAGACATATGTTTTACATTGTCAAATTCAATGAATTATATACAGTGTGATATTTACTGTAACAACACATTCTGGTTATTGATACTAAGGGGATTGCGATCACCCTTGCAACAACATCGCAAACAAGCTTTATACATAATGAAAAAAGCAATCGGTTCTATGAGTACAAATGTTATATTAAATTTTGAATCACAATTGAACGTGACAAAAGCAGAAATTACACCATTTATTTGTAATAATTCTGATACCTCTTTATTAATAGATGACATTAAGGAGAAATTTTTCTTACTTTACGAAGCGTTAGAAGAGAAGAAAGAACATTTAATAACACCAACTTTAATTCATGCAGCTGCTTTAATAAAAATAAACAAAGAGCACAAAGCTTGCAACTGCTTCAACATCATATGGTTGCAGTGCATTTTTGAGAAAATCTTACTGCATGAGAACAATCATATTGCAAAGTGGGGTGTATCATATGTTTGTAAACTAGACAAGACCATGTTTGATGATCAGTTTCTCGAATTATTTATACATGTCCTAAATAATAACTTCCTTTATGAATGCCAGCCTGACGAAAAATGTCCGGGAATTGTGAAAGAGCTCTCACAATTTCTCGAATACGCGGAGAAAAGCGATTTGCTCAATAGATTTGTTAAAAAGATTAGCTGTGTAGCCTGGGGGCCTGTAGCAATATTTTATATAGTACATGTGTTACGAACAGTTTCACATCAAGAGAGTCAACATTCTGATTGGCAATCTACTGAATTAAATGCCATAAAATTTCTAGTGGAAACAAATTTGAGCATGCATTCTCGCATTCTGCGTACTGCATCTCAAACTGAACTCTTGAGAGCAATCCCTAATTATGTACGAAAAATAAACAATCTATCATTGCTCGCTAATGTTTTAGCTACATTTCCTTCTGGAGAAAGTCTCACGAGAGGAACAGTTCCTTGGAACGTTATTACAACATGGTTGGAAAAAGTATTAGCGAGAGAAGATGTAGTAACTTTCATAAAGGAGACTTGTGCGAAATATTTGAATCAAGATGCTAGTCCTGAGATAAATCCTAGGACATTTGCAATAATGGTATATTTGTTATACGACGCAAATCTTATATTCTTATGCCAGACGTGTCCTGACGTAGAAGCATTAAACAATTGGCTGTATACGTTAAATAGTATTAACGTACGACCGTATGCCGATGTCATATTAAGTATGAATGTAGTAGAATTTATATCGTATTTACTGTATCTTTCCCCGAAGGGGTCTCACAATAACATGACGGACTTTATATCGTTACACATACGCATCACTTTTCATTTTTTAATTAAAAATATGAGAAAGATGTCCACAGAACTATCTTATGAAGATTATACAAGATACACAACCATTATATCTTCACATATTGTTAACGCTCCTTTTCTCATGTCAAAAAAGGATGTAAATATTTATGCAGAAAAGTTGCAAAACGAAAGTATAAACTTGATACATGACTTGCAAAATCTAAATATACAATATTTGTATGGATTACATATCTTATATCTCTCTCAGAATATATTGATTTTGCCACTTACGAAAACTTTTTATATAAAGCGTTTATTGAATACGCGGATGAACATTCATAACAATATCAATGAGGAAAAAATTTTAAAAGGAAAAATGGCATCAGAATATGATTTGCTTCTTTTAAAACTTCTGCATCAATATCTTATAAATTCGCCAGTACCGTCATGGATTCCTATTACTACAATACTGTCTAATTTGTTACAATTTCTTGAGGTAGGCTCACCAGAAAATGTTTCTGAAATTGCAAAGATACTAACAGTAATAAATGATAATAAAATTATAAACAATGCAAGTGATAAAGAAACTTTGGAATATATTTTTAACTTGAGCTTTACATACATCATCAACAGTAAAAGAAACAATATTTTTTGGACAGCAATAGAAAACCTTATGGGAGTTATTATTAATAACAATTTCTTGCTTTTACTTAATGCCATACAATTCACAAAAAAAGTAAGTTAAAATATATATCGAAATTTATGTATCAATTATGAAATATCAATCACTTATGATCTATTTTGCTTTGCAGTATGTCGTTAAATTACTAAACGAAGGGGAGAATACACCAAGATTTAAAAGGATATTGCTTTCTAAAATGAAAAATTTGGATATACACAATTTGATGAAATTCGAAAATGTATTAGGGAATTGTTTTCTTCATGGTTCTGTACACCGACGTGACAAGAAAATTGAAAATTATGCTCATTTATTTATTGAGAACCAATTGAATAAATATTATTCAAAGCATATTTTCACGTTGTAAGCATCTCTTTTTATCAATATTTATTTTAAATACATAGCTCGTTAAAATTCAAAGCAATTTGTAAATAGTAATTAATAGAACATTAATATTTTTTAACAGGGATCATAATAATGACGCTGCAATTAGAGCAGAGGCAGTTATACTGTTACATAGAATAATTAGTAATCCAGAATTTAATTACGCAGCATCATTTGGACAGTCAGTACTCAATGAGTTGATAAAGAACAAAACCAAGAGATATTTTAAAGACTCGCCTTTACATAAATTAAAACACAGAATAATGCAAATTTTATTAATATTAGAACCAGTACTAAGTAAGGTGAACGCTAAGTTCTCGTTAAATAACTATGGAAACTTCAAAAAGTATTAAGTTCTCGTTAAATTTTATTTTTCGATTAAAAAATTAACAGATAATTACTTTATAGGAATTTGTTCCTCTGCTACAGGAACAGTTATGTGAGTTTATTTTTTCGGAAAGCAATCAGTCTAGCGTGAAAATAATGCAGGAATGGTTATTGATACGAATTTTTACAAAAAATATTCATTTGCATGATAAACTGTGGTCACTTTTTGCAAAGGTAATCCGAGATGATGACTTCTCTTATTTTATAAAAACATTTCGTTTGTTCACAGTATACATATATATGTGTGTGTGTGTGTGTGTGTGTGTGTGTGTGTGTGTGTGTGTGTGTGTGTGTGTATGTGTATGTATATATATGCTCTGGAAATATATATATATATATATTTCCAGAGCA